CGCCCGACGACTTCGGCGGCTGGGCCCTCCCCCACGCCCCGGCCCACTCCACCGTCAACAAACCTCCCCTCATCCACCCCAATTCCCCATCTCCTTCCTACGCCCTCCTCGGCTTCGGCACTTCCCTCGCTCTTCTCCTCGCCGTCTTCGCCGCCTCCAGGAGAGGTACGTTACGTCACAAAACCTTCTCCTTCTTCTTCAGAATGCGTGCCTCTCTCCTTTTTCACTCAAAGGAAATCTCTGCTGCGCGTTTAGGGTTCCACGTTCCGTTCGCGAGACCGTTGCAAGGGCTGTGGACTCGCGTGGAGACTCGCCGTGATCAAAACGACACTCCGGAGTCTGACGTTTCTGCCGGAACCAAGTCAACTGTGTCCGAGAACAGCGTTGCCGTTACGGAAACTGGTAGATGCTTCGTGCTTTTTGTTTTTTTCATCATGATAGTGGTTTTGGTATTATCGCATTCGTTTGTTGTTTGAGTTCCTTAATTTGTCTCTGAAATTGCAGACATAATTTAATGTTTCCTAATTTCAGAAACTGAAATAGTCACATTTTGGAATTTTAGGGATAAATTGACTGGTTTACTCTACTAGTAAATTTAGGGTCTGATTTTGTGTATTACTAATACTCTATGGTTGCTTTTTGTAGTTTTCTTATCCTTGTTTTTCCTTGTCATGTCTGTAGCTGTGGAAAAGCTTGAACGAATTGTGATCCCGGTTTCGGTGGATTCTACACAAGAAGAAGCATTGTCAGTCCTAAAGACACTGAAGGTTTGTTTCTAGAAGCAATTATTCTTCTTTTGATGTATTAGAAGCGTGGTTTTTAAATGTGAATCAGAGGGACCAGTAGTATCTGCCTACGCGGTGTTAAATCGTTGATGGTTGTAGAGCTTCGAGGTAACTTTGTCTTTTGTAATTGAATCTCTACTAATGGGAAACCTAGAAGCCTTTGATATTGTGAGCCTTAGCTCTCTATTGTATTTAATTCAGTTCAATGTATTGGCAATTGGGAAACAATTGCTCCGGTCATTTGTTTTGGTTGTATTTATACTGCTTCTTAAGTTTGTGGACCAAAGATAAAGCAAGAACTGAGGGGAAAGAGCCAGAGAAAGGTTAACGGGAATGGAATAAACATGGACATTTTGGTTTTTGTTATAAATGATGATGGTGATTATGAAATTTGATTTATTGTGCCTCTTGGAATTGGATGCTTTTGCATGTAGTGTAACATTTATGCTATGGTGCACCTGAAATTGTGCTGCTTGCTTGCGTGGAATTTTCTCTTGTAGTTTATTGCCTTGCACGTGTCTTCATTGCATAATGTAGCGCTAACACTGTGCTATGTTTTGGATGCTTAGGTAGAGTTGTAGGCTTGAATATTGTGGTTTTTGTTGATATGTCTAGATAATTGAAGATGACGTAGAAGCCAATGAATTGTGTACCAGAAGAGAATTTGCTAGATGGCTAGTTAAATTGAATTCTTCCTTGGAAAGGTCAGTAGTTCCTGATATGTCATGCATGTAACTTTGCAGTCTGGGACTGAATGAGCTAAAAATATGTAGCTATGTCTGACTTCCATTCCTTGTCTTCCAGGAATCCTAAACACAGGATCGTTCCTATAGTATCACTTTCTGGATCTGTAGTTGCTGCATTTGATGATATCAGTATTGTCGACCCAGACTTTAGATCCATTCAAGGTAAAATTGATGGAACTTTACTTCAACACATAATTTTGTCTCGTGCAGAAATTTAAATGTTTGCTTTTGAATTTGTGGATAAAGTCTTAGCAGAAGCAGGTGTGATCCCCAGCAAATTATCATGGAATGATAGTTCCAATTACGATGGATTTGACAGTCAAGAAAACATAAACTTTTTTCCTGATAGGTATATTTGTATTCCATCCTTCTACGCTGTACAATCAAATTTCATTTTACTGAATTGAATATATGTGCACTTCAGATTCATCTCACGACAAGATCTAGTAGATTGGAGAGCTCAGCTGGAATATGAATTTTTCTCTGGGGTAATTGATCAGGTAGGCTGTTTTCAAAAGTTAGGTATTTGGATAGTTTTCAATATTCATTGTGAAAAACTTCACCTTTCTTTCAGCTCTTAATACATGACTTTTTTACAGTCCAGATATCAATTAAAAAAGCAGGTTATATGGATGTGAAGGAAATCACTTCTCCAGCAGTTTATGTGGACATGTTGGCAGGGGATAGGAGTATACTTAGAAAAGTTTTTGGTATCACTCCTCAGGCTTTTCCTCTATGCATTGATGTTTTTCTTTTTGTTTCATCAAATACATCAAATTTCTTTACACGTCTCTATCTGTAATTTCTTGTTGTCAATGATGGTAAAACTTTGATAATACGAGACATGATAGATCAGAAATATTTCGTTTCATTAAAAGTTATATAAATTAAATTCCAGTTTAGGTTATTATAGTATTTGTCTGGGAATGGGAACAAATGAACAATAGATCAATTAGTGTAGGTTGTTTGATGTTGAAGTGTAGAAGAAAGTGTAAGTGTAACAGTAGAAGCATAACAAAATGAGAAGCAAAACTAGACTCAGAATTTCCAGCAGCACCCATTTTATGCTTACTAGGGGAGAAGAGACACTTCATGCCTCTATATATTTATTTAAAAATAAAAATAAAAATAGTGGTTTAGGGTAGTTAAATGATATATGGTTCCAAAAATGTGGAGATGTAAATGATTGAGAAACTGGGAGAGAGACACAATGTGAGTACTGAGTAATAATAGGAGTGTAGGTTACGTCTACAGAGAAATATGAAAACTTCCTATAGTGAAAAAGTAACGTATAGAGGATACCACCATAATGTGTAAAAGAATGAGTTAATAAGTTTGTAATATTTTTCCAGTAAAAGTGGAGACAAAAAAAAGTTAAGAGAAAAGGTATTTCCTTTATATAATGATGATATGATGATGATATAGATGGTGTGCCGTATACCTATAATGATCATTAGGCTGAGTTAATGAATGAATAGTGAGGCTTGTTATATATTTTATTTAAGACTTGGATTATTTCTATGTATCTAAGAATGCTTAGTTGAAGAATGATCTTACAAAGAATCTGTGTGAACTTATTGTTACAGGACAGAGCAAGCGATTTCAGCCAAACAAACCTTCAACAAAAGCACAAGCAGCGGTGGCTCTGACAAGTGGCAGGATGAAGGAGGCAATATCAGCTGAAATGTTGAGAATAGAAGCTGAGAATTCTGCCAGATTGGCTGAGGCAGAAGAGATCAGGTCTGAGTTGCTTAGCCGAGGAGATATACAGAGGTTTTGGGATGAGAAGCTTAATAAAGAGAAAATTCGTGGTTTTGAGGTAGAGAGGCTTTATCATATGGAAGTAAAAAATTTGCAAGATGAGGAGATCAATCAAGATAAGATATATGCGGAGTATTTAAAAGAAAAGGCAGCGATGGATTGTCAGAAGCAGCTGCTGCTTAGCTTAAAGAAAGAAATTGATGAGATATCAGAAAAACTTGCATCAGAGAGAGTCATATATCTGGACGAAAGGCATGTTGTACAAAAGTTGCTCAAAGATTTAGAATTCAAGCATGAAGAAATGCTTGACACCAAATCCACTCTAGAAGCTGAGAAAGAAGCTCTTCAGATTCTTAGGTAATTTGTGATTTACTCTTGTTAGTCTACTTTTAGAATGTCGTGATTATTTTGGATACTCCTTAATTCCGTGTCAACTAAAGTATCCATTTTGATTTATGGCCTTTCAAACCACAATTTATATATTGGGAGGCTTGTAAAGCCATGGAGTGGGAAGGTTTGGGAGTTTATTTGATGTCGTAACAGATTACTATGGTATTGCTAAACACATTGCTATGATAGCTAAATGGTTTTCTCTGATGGTCAATTCAATATGGCAACTGGTAATTTGAAGTTAATCTGGTGTACTTTAGACCTTAAATGGTGGGATGCCAAACTGGAAGTTGCTGATACTAATGTAAATATTTTGGAAATTTATTTCCCAAATATGTTTGTCAGACAACTTTTATTTTTAGATTGATTGATGGTTCTTTACTCAGGATTTGGGAGGACATTTAGGTGGAGAGTGGAGACTGTTCTGTTTTACTGTCTTTTTCTTCCTTGCACATCTAAATTGTTTACTTTTGATGCGATCATGTCCTGGTTTTAGGTATTTCTTTTACCTTTTTAGTTAAATCCTGTCTTTGGGTGCATTTAGGCAACCAAGTATAAAAAGTTCTGGAGTGATGCTGGTGCAGAAATTTTGATGGACATGAATTAAGTTTATGGTACTAAAAGTACAGTCATATATCTAATTAGTACTTGGTTGGTTCTATTATGTATTTATGTTACTAGTAGCATAGCCATAGCATTATAAAATAATCAGTTGATGTGCAAATTGGTAAAATTACTTTCACCCAAGTGAACCTGCTAGAAATTGTGATTATATTTGGAGTTAGGACTCTAATGAATTATGCAAATGTTGCAGATCTTGGGTGGAGGACGAGGCAAGGAGAAGCCAAGCTCGGGCAGCTGTTCTCGAAGAGGTAGGGCGAAGATGGAAATGGGAGGACCAAGCTTGATTGTAAATTAACATATCTACATATCAATATATTTACTAAAAAGATAAATTCTTTAGACTACAATGCTTTGTTTTGTATTATGGTCTTTTGGGAGAGAAAGGAAAGGACTAAGGGTGATGACGAGCCTCATCCTTTGTTTGGTATATACACATTCAGAAAGGAAAGTGTTAAATTATGATGCAAATTCTAGAAAAGAAAAGAGTATCATGAATGTTTCATAGCAATGAGGATCAACATTTTTATCATATATGTAATGCTTGCATATAATTATGCTCCCATTAACCATAACATTTGCACTGAAATATTCAAAAATTGTGAGAACATAATCCTTGTTTCAAGGAAGAGATAGAATAAGTGAGTTTCTTATTGATAAAATTGACAAAATTTGAATGTTTAAAACATTAAAAGTTAGTCATACCGTGGGGAATGTGTTGTTGGTGTAGGAGATGATCATGCAAGTCTTTCCCACAGCCTCATCATAAATGATACACTTGATGAATCTTGTTGTGTTTATATTCTTTCAACTTTGCAATCATGACACACTAACACAAAAAGGCAGTCGTCTTCGATTAAAAGAATTAGTTCTTACAAATAGTTTAAAAAGTGTTTTCAGTCTGATTATTTAGAGCCTAAGAAAAGCATTCCCTGTTCTTATGGTATAGAAGTACTATTTTAGCCAAAACATATCAGCACTTGATGCAAACCACATTAATGAAAACATAAAACAAATGGGTATGAAACAAATTTCATTACCTGCCCTGTTTAAGTTTATATAGTTTGATAAACTAAAAAAAAATAATATCATTGTATAGTTTGTTGTAGGGGAAAGCCTAATAATATGAACATAACTCTTACCTTTTTTTCTACTGGTCAAGAATGCATGACTTGTTGCACAAAAACAAAATCCCTTTCCAAAGACACATCCTCATATATGACCTTTTTTTTATCTCTGTTGCTTTTTCTCCTTTATCTGAACTAACAAATCTTTATTCCTAGCAAGACCTTCAATAAAGTGATCAATCTACTCCCTGAAGATTAGCATTAGGCTTGATCTTCATAATATCAACTCCACATAACGAATAAACCTTAAAGTGTGACACATGCATGCTCTAATTTCATACAAGTAGAATATGAGAATATCGAGCTAAACTCAAATTATGCATTATGCAACTCAACATAGGTTCAAGAAATGAATATAGGAAACAATACATACTTGTAGAAAACATGATGAGAAGAAGATGCAGATTTTTAAGGTAGTGTTTTTAGCAATTTTTCATAATAGAGGAAAGTTGTAAGAGGAGGGGAAAGATAAGGAAAGCAGAAGGTAAAATTGTGATTGAAGTGCAAGTGAAAATGAAATGTGGATGTTAAACTATGAGTGAGAAGTGAAGATAATGATAATTGACAAAAGAGCGACAACCATCGGAGGAGGGGAATTTGCGGTCTGTGTTGTAGTGTAGTAGAGAGTGTTGAGTGTTGAAATAGAAGGAAAGGGAGCGTAGAAAATAAATGAACCTGATTTTGTATCTTCTATTCTCGGACACCGACACTTTGCCAGAATAGTAGCATAGTTTACCAGAATTGGATGATTAATTATAGTAATAGGGAGTGGTGGCTTGGCTTGGAAGGAAATCAAACACATTACACATGTCTAGTAGGTGTGAGTGAGTACGATTCCCATAGAGCATAGCAATACCAGTGCATCAGTTGTCATGTGGTCCCCACATACAAGCTATCACAGAATAGTATGTATTGTATTCACATATTCACATACAGGCTCAACAATTAAGCAAAGGCAAAAGACAGAGACTCACCAACCACGTGTTCCTGAGACCATGAGTAAGCAAATACAAGCTTACCTAAGGATATACACGTGTTCCTGGGAACTTGAATCCAATACCACGTGTTTATAAGAAAATAAAACACGTGTTTATAATTCAATTCTATATTTTTTTATTTTTTTTATCCATGAGAATACAATTCAATACAGAGATATTTATAACAACTAAAATGAATCCCCTTAATCAATTATAAACTAGTAAACAACGTAAATTGATTGATGAATGTTAATTTAATTTTTTCTTACATGCATATTGATGACAATAAAAATCAAACTTAAATAATAATAGATTTACATATTAATAAAAAGAAAATATTTTCAAATATTTCAAATAAACTTGAATACAAGTTCATAAGATAAATAAAACTCTCTACAATTTTTTTTATACTCAAATTTGATAATTACTTGAGAAGAGTTAAGCACTCTAGCATAATTATATTTGTCTAATAATTTTTATAATAATTTATTTAAGGCAACTTGATAATATATTACTAACTTATTAACTAAATTTATTCCATTTTATTAATTTAATTTATACATACAAAACACTTTTTATCGGTAGTATTTTTTTTCTAGTTATTTAAGATGATATTTTTGAGAAAAACTATTATAGTAGTTAATCATAATATTCACAAAAAATATTTTATATCAAAAGAAATTTCTTTAGGGCTGAATATATATGAAAATAAAACACGTAAAAAGTTTCATGCATGTTTAACTTTATCCAAAGTTATCTTTATGTGCATCTTACAAAAGAAAATAAAACACGTAAAAAGTAGTTTCATGCATGTTTAACTTTTTATTAAATTAAATCTCTATGTAGAGTACTAACGATTATATACATTCTTAACTTTTAAGGGGAAGTCCTACTTCTACATTAAGTTATTTTATATTCAAGAATGCATGACTTGTTGCACAAAAACAAAATCCCTTTCCAAAGACACATCCTCATATATGACCTTTTTTTTATCTCTGTTGCTTTTTCTCCTTTATCTGAACTAACAAATCTTTATTCCTAGCAAGACCTTCAATAAAGTGATCAATCTACTCCCTGAAGATTAGCATTAGGCTTGATCTTCATAATATCAACTCCACATAACGAATAAACCTTAAAGTGTGACACATGCATGCTCTAATTTCATACAAGTAGAATATGAGAATATCGAGCTAAACTCAAATTATGCATTATGCAACTCAACATAGGTTCAAGAAATGAATATAGGAAACAATACATACTTGTAGAAAACATGATGAGAAGAAGATGCAGATTTTTAAGGTAGTGTTTTTAGCAATTTTTCATAATAGAGGAAAGTTGTAAGAGGAGGGGAAAGATAAGGAAAGCAGAAGGTAAAATTGTGATTGAAGTGCAAGTGAAAATGAAATGTGGATGTTAAACTATGAGTGAGAAGTGAAGATAATGATAATTGACAAAAAGAACTTGGGGTTCTCGTGCTCCCTCCAGTGGGAAATCCAAAAATATTATTGAACTGAGCTAGGGTTAATTCGTGTTCTTGGTTAAACATACGGAAAGAAATCAAACCTTCAGAACAATTTGGCCCAGATAATATTTCCGTGTGGAGAGAGCTCAAGAACTCAAGAACTAGTCGAGGATAAACAACATCATTATGCATGGTAGCAAAGGTTGTCCACCCAATGTTAGTTAACATGAAATTGATATCAGCACGTAAACCCAACTTACGAATAAATGGGAAGTCGAGATACCTGGTAGGATGGATAGTGCGGAAGCGTAATACCTCGTTCCGCTCACGCTGTTCATCGTTCCGATAGAACCTCGGAGGAAGGTGCGGAATTTCACTTGCTTCTTCCTCGTAACTGTGGGTATCGGAAGCGGTGGAGGACGAACCAACGGTACGGGTGCGCTTGGGAGCCATGGATGAACGGAAGGAGTGAATGTGGGAGGAAGAGGGAAGCACTCCCTGGAAGCCGTACTATTAATTTTGCTACCTGCTCTTCTATGAACTGCATTGCGAAAGATGAAAATGATAAATACTACTTTGTAGTAACCCAGTCGGGAGTGCACCACCAGTTACCAAATCCAACATACACCGTGAAGAACCGGGCTACCTGGCAAAGTGATTGATGTGAATGGGTTGAATTTCTGTGGTCCTCAAAGATTTTCCATACCTCCCTTGAGACGGATTGGGAGGGAAGATGGTACGCAGCCAGTCTTGTCACTTTTTATGTTTAGCTTTTTTTTTTTTTTTTTTTTTTTTTTTTTTTTTTTTTTTTTTTTTTTTTTTTTAAATGTTTTGGAAGCTTTATGAAATTGTCTTTCAACTAAAATGTCATTTACTACCTTATCACCGGTGACCTGTCTTGCATATGATAGGAAGTGGAATAATTCCAAAATGATGGACATTTATAGAGAAGATACGGATTTTGTTCTCTGTAATGCCTATTTTAATGTGTTCTTTCAGTTTTGTTGTCCTAATGGTTAAACTTTGATGCATAAGAAACCTTGAAATAATTATGATTTATATTATAACGTATACATATTTTATATTTGAATAATTTTTTATCCATATGATTGTGCTTGGTTTTACTCGATATTTATACCCTATGTTAAGATTGTGCCATTTATGATCTTCTGGCTGGAACTTCTACCACCACTTTATGAAAACTCACTCCATTTGTCATTTCAACTTAGCACAAAGCGTGCTGTATCATCAAATTTAAGACTATGCAGCAAGTTGACACGTTCAAACTGTAATGATCATGCCAACTCACATATATCATATCTAACTAAATATTTATTTCATATTTCTCAACTTCTTTCACTTTACCAACTCCTTCATACCTTATGTCATTGCACCCACCTTTGTGTGATGAAGAAAATAAAAGATTTTCTTGCTGGGTAATTGCTATGGTTTCTCAACTTTTCCCACTTAACTAATTCCTTCCCTGCCTACCTGTCTCTTCTTCAACTCCCCTTCTAATGCATTAACATTATCACCAAACATAATGATGGATATCGGAGTATTAAAGGACCAATGATACAACCATTTTCTTTTCTTCCACACCTCTCTTTGTTTTCACTATTTTTTAGTTTTTTAATATTACTTAAAAATGGAGGATGAACATCCATGGATTGATAAATGTTTTGTGCCTTTGACTACTGGAGTTTGGAAGAAAATCATGCAAAAATATAGCTAATATATTATAAATTTTTCAATCAAAAATTATCTTCAACTTAATATATATATATTTATTATAATATGTATGTTACAAAATGAATTTGGAATTACTTGGCTAGGTAGATGTCATTTGATCCATTTAGTGTTAGTTCCAATGAGGAGAGAAACTATCTCTACTCCCCAATGTCC